TTTAGGAAAAGTGATTTTCAAGGTTCAGAAGTGGGCTGTTTTGTGGTCGAGCAGGAAGTGAGGGGCGCTGGGGACCTGCACAATCACCTTCAGCTAAGAAGTGGGACATCGAAACGAGTGTGCAGCTCAAATAGGGAGACCTCCCAGTCCCACTCCCTACAAGAAGGGAAATAGACCAGTCTACCCAGCCAGGGTCAGAGGGTCTCCCCTTCGACATCGTCCAGACACGCATGCCCAAACAGATGCGAAAGCCAACATTTCAAAGACGCCCCCCCCATTTAAATACACACCCATTTTGGAGGATGATCATGTACCAGTTTCAGGGCTTGTTGGACTCCATCCATGGTGTCTATGTTCGACTACTCTCGAAACAAAGCCTGACAGAGTACAGGGGCCCCTGGTAATGTTGTTCATTTCAACAGGTTGCTTGCTCTAGATGCACCCTTGGGGACTTAGGAGTTGCTTTTTGGGCAAACAAGTGTGTATACTGAGTGTGGATGCCCCAAGCATTGACCTTTTTAAAGTACCGGAAGTGAACGAAGAATGTCCTGCCGGAGAGGCGTGTGTCCGTGGTGCGCATCAATGTGCTGGGTGTTGCATGGCTGCAGCTGGCACCTTTCACTCGCAGACGAAAGCGGTCAATTACCACATAACGTAAGAATAGTTCCTCGAAACGGATTCTTTCTAGACATGATGGTCTATCATGGACATAGACAAATATATAGAAATATACTATGGTGTAAGGATTGTCCGCAGAGGTATGTCTCGTTATTTTTACACCGTTCGCTTCCAACGAACTTGTGGCATGGTGCCACTTCGCACTACAAGTCGTTTGTTGCATCCAAGGTCATTGGACTTTTAGCTTCTTGGCTTCTTCACAGTGCGCTTGGGTGAACAGCCTTTCATTTTTTAGAAATGGTGAAGAACAGGCACAGGGAACTCCAGACTTGTTGGGATGTGGGTCATGTTGCCAAAGTCCAGACACCCGTCGACACATGGAGGATGTTCAGCAGCTAGCATGCTCCGACATGTGACTGTCCAATTGCCCTTGGAGGATGCAACCTCGATGTTGGAACCTGGGAGCTCAATGTGTTTGTAGTTATAGGTATGCAATATACCTGGACCCTCCAGCTTCTAGCGCAGGAAATAGGACATTGATCCTCAATAACAAGCGGGTGCACATTTGCGAAGCAGATTCCAGAGCACCCATTGCATGCCATGCTGTTTTCCGCATGACTCCATAAAATAGCAATGCGAATCATCAGAAACCCAAGCTCCTCCTGAACATTCCTCCAAGGTGGTCTTCGGAGCACTAGCTTGGGGAGCCTGGCAATATTTCCAGAGCTCATCGGGTCCCGAGGCACCTGCATGTTCTTTCGTCGCGGTTTCTGGTGGTTCTCCAAGAATCGGTTGATGACGAAAGTCAGGCGATTTCGTTGAGATTTGATGGTTGAGATGGTTGAGATCTGTTTCGGCGCAGGACTTGCCCCTCTATACCCTGAGAAGTGAGGCCTGGCGCCGTATTTTCGATGTTCGGATTTTGATGCACCGGGATCCAATGGGAAAGAGGGGAGCATCCACAAGGGTGTTGCAAGAGTTCCATGAACAGTTGTATCAATGAGACTAGCAGCTTCATTAAGTTGTCCAACGATGTCCAAGGTCTTCTCAATCCAGATCTTTTCCGAGAGTGTTTCCGTAGCATAATGCTCATCCGATGGATTGGCTCAAGGCAGATTGAGCCGTATGAGGCTCGCACCCTCTGCCTTAGCTGCTGCCGAAGCTGCAGCTGTAGTGACACTGGCCGAGGCAGCAGTATTTGTCAAGGCAAAAGAAGCAGAGAGAGTTGCTGCCGCAGAGGCGGAAGCCATTGCGAACCTCGCAGAGGCAGCTAGAAGTAGAGATCATCCCAGGCCTCCCAAAGAGCCACCACCCCTTCCTCGTCCTCCAAAGACTCCGCCTCCCAAGCGCAAATCTGCGAACGAGAGTGCACAGACGAAGAAGTCTCGATTGGATTGGAAGGGTCAGTGAAGATCGAATGCAGACTCCAGCAGTGCAAAAGACTTGGGTGGAGAAGGTTGAAGATCATAGAGCTTCATTACTTCGCCTTCGTACCCAATTGGCACGGCTCAAGTCCAGCTTGCCTGGTGCCACGAGCGTACTGTCCGACACGGCCACAGCATTCAGTGGCGCTGCAGCAGCTGTAGAGGAATGGTCGTCTGATGATACACAGCTCCTGGCCGCTGCCAAGACTTTGGCGAGTCTTCTCAGTCGACACGACGACGTGAAAGACTCGCTTCGCGCCACGACAGCACGACGCCCTATGACGTCGAAGCCACGCTCCAAGTCGACGTCCCGGGACCGGGCGCTTCCGGACCCGGTGGACTTCTCGCTCTTCACGCGCGCACGTTGGGAGGCGGAACGACGAAAGGGTGAAGCCATGCTAGCAGGGGAGGGGGATGCAGGTGTTCAAGTCTATGACAAGGAATTACCCAAGCCTGTCCCCAAAGAGAAGGCCTGCAATCAAGTGCGTGGGCGCCATGTGTTGGTGAATAATGTGGAGAAGGCCAAGAAAATCTATTTGGAGCTCGCCGTGACAGGCACCATGGACCGACAAGGCTTTCTGCGCCATTGCAGCAGTGCGCGCTTTGCTTCGCTGGCTACTGAGCGGTCCGAGTGTCCCACTGGAGCGGCTGGAGGTGATTTGGGATGGCTTTCCAAGGACGCCTGGTTTTTGCAGTAAACATTGTTACTAGCAGTAACAAGTGCCACGCTAGTAGTAACAAGTGCCTTACTAGTAGTAACAAAAAGCTAATTCAACTCTTTTTTGGGGGGGTCCCGAAATCATGTTGCTTACGGCTTACGGTCCCAGACCTTGTCAAGCATGAAAGTCCAAAACGGCTAGGTGATCTCATGCTTTTTCACTTCATGTAGTAAGTTCACCTCCCTACTTAGTAGTTTGATGTAGTTTGTCTCGTCTACCATGTTCATTCTTGATGGTCAACCAGGGCTCCCGCGGAGCCAACCGCCGTTTCGGTTTCGACCAAGGAAGAGAAGCCTTCGAGGCTCCAAGAGGTCGCCTTTGTGACGCCTCGAAGTGCCTGTTCTCCGCCGTTCCGGAGCGGAAGTGGCTTCCACCTCTTTTATTGTGAGGAAAGAAGATGAACTTCCAAGAGCGAATCCAAAAAGGATTATGTGGATGGGTGTTGCCCGACCGCATCGAGCCGGGAGCAGGATTCAACTGGATGGTTCCTGTTCCTTGGAGGGTTTCTACGAAAGACTTGTTGTTGATTCAAGGTGCCAGCGTGTCACGTACACCGCCCGCATGTGTTTGTTTCACTGTGTATGTGTTGCCCCAACAGGACAGACTGCAAGCGAATAGTTGACCACTTGGAGTGCTTTGGTAGTAGCGTCCTTGCTCCTAGTAGCAATGAGCCTCTTGTTACTAGTAGTAGCCCCTAGTAGCGTCCTTGCTCCTAATGGCTTCCCTGGACATGGTCCCACCTTTGCGCCATTTTATACAATCAATCCGACTGATCGGGGACAGGCAAAGGTGTTTTGACTGCATGTTGAGTATGTTGAACATGATGTATCCACATGTTCATTGATCCATACTGTGCCAGATTTTCCTCATGTAATGTGGGCGCCAGATGGCACCAGGTACATATTTTGACTTATGCACGGAAGATTAACCTCCCAATGGCCCTACTTCCAGTCTTCAAATACCCTACATGTTACATGCTGCCAACAGAATACAGGTACAAGCGGTACAAGTATCTAGAGTATACCGTACATTCTTCGCACGTGTTCAGTTGGCTGCAAAGAAATCATGATGACTCCCAGTTGGGGTAAAATGAGAAAGTTGGTAGTTGATGACTCGCTTCATCGCTGGAAGCGAGTGAATGCTCCAGACGATGCATATAGGAACCTTTCCCTACTGCCAGGGCTGACGATGGCTGACCGCATGCCGCAGGGACCAATCAGGCGAGACACCAAAAACAAAGGAACGGAAGGGAAGACAGCAAGAACTCCCGGAAGTAACGAAGGGACAGTTTCTTTATTTGTTCGTTGGTGTCGATGTGAGGGTAGACAGTGCCAATTCATGCCAATGCTTTTGCTGTCAACAAGTGCTCCAAGTTTATCCACGTCTCATGTTTCTTCTATGCAGCGCAATGCGTTACTCCCATATCTATATATACATATATATATAATATATAGATGCGCGATACATGTCTTGTGGGATACCTTGCAGAGTATTTGCCACAGACCCTGCACTGAGACAGTCCGTGCGGTCTTGATGCCTCGAGGTGTGCGAGGGCGAAAAGAGAGAAAAACTGTGCGTGGTTGCAGAGAAACTGAGGCATGGTGTAACTTTAAGAGCCTCTACTTAGGAGTGATTTGGAATTTGAATGTTGTAGCTTTTGTTCACAGGAAACTTTAGTAAGATATATATTATATATTATATATATTATAGCGGAGTTTGCGATGTGGTGCCGGCCCTTTGTGAGTCATTGGCAGCTTGTCGATAATGCATCTAGACAGCTCACACAAATAGACAAACAGGTTTACATACGTAGGTTTACAAGGTGAAGCTCAATCCAGTGCTATTTGAGCACAATCCTGATGAAATTCCTGGTTTCTGGTTTCTTAGTCATGTTGACTCCAGTTTCCTCCATTACCCGTGGGTCAGCAAAGCACGATGTTTCCTTTGATGCATGCTGCATACTTGACCGCTTTTCCTGCTCACAGCTGCTGAGTAGTATAGGGTTCTATAGACATCACAGAGCCGAAACTCGGTGAATTCCCTTCCAGTCTTGAAGATACATGACCCGAGCAAACGACGGCCTTTTAGGTTTGGGAAATACAGTGCACCAACAAACATCGAATCCAAGAAGCTCGAGTCAGGATCGTTGATTTAGAGGGAGGCAGCTTGCCTTGTTTGTCCCATGATTCTTATAGCTGTCCACGTCGTTCACGTTCATTTTTGTTTGAAACAGCCTTCCATGGACGAATGGCGAAGCCAATTTCCATTGAGGGCCAACGGCTGCCGTCTCGTGAACCAACGCGGCCAGCTGCTGGGATTAACGTGGGTGATCGGCCGATGATGGGGCGGCTAACGGATAAGTTTCACACGTTTCACACGTTTCACTTCTCACTGTAGTTGTTCACTTGTCAAAGATTGTCAAAGTATTTGTTCAATGAGAAGGTGCTTGTTACACTCCGTGGAAAAATCATAGAAGTGGATGGCATGGACCCTTGGATGACTATTTCCCCGCTACAGACACTTTCATGGCTATTTCATATTGTTTCAAGGAGTGTACGTACTGCCTTGCAGTCATGTGAAGAAATGGACTCCCGTTTTGCTTAGCCTTTTGGACACTGACCCATTTTCCATTTGGGTAAAATTGTTTTGGTTGATTTTCGGAGCTCTACTAGCCTCAAGTCAAGATTTACTACAACTGAGTTGCACCCTGTTCCCTTACCACTCATCCCAACCGTCACAGCCTTTTTCAAGCCAAACAAAGAGCACATGGACAAGTGAGGCCAACACCGTCTTCTCCCCTTTGACCCAACGACCACCCTCCGTTTACGATAGGCATATACTTTCAAATCAAAGAGGAGGAGGCAGCTTTTGGGTCCCCTTTTTTTTGAATGAAAAGAAGGCTACCGGGTGGAACAGCAGCAAGATATGGCTTTCCAAGTGGCTTTTCATGTTCCCATGGTTTTGAGGCATTTCAAGCTGGCGGGTGTCAACTGGTATGGTGCTTCTGACTCCTACCATGTGGCACCTTGGCCTGTGACATGTGGTCGAAGATCCCTACATTGCGAAATGAGCGTCCGATGAATTCTTCGGAAGAGGAAGAAGGATGCAGTCTGTAGTTTTGCATTGGTAGCCCAGGTTTGCCAATCTTTTCCGTGGCATGCAACTCACCCAAGCAATCTCCTGAAACATGGTGAGATAGAGGATGGATCTCAATATAGATGTTTCATGATTGTTCATAGAAAATGTGTTTGCTGACTAGTAACAATAAAGCTACTAGGAGCAAAGGGCATCGCTACTAGGAGCAAAGACGCTATTAGGGGCTCCTGGCCATATTACTAGGAGCAAGAGGACGCTACTAGGAGCAAAGGGCATCGCCGGCATCGCTACTAGGAGCAAGGACGCTACTAGATCCTCCTGGCATCGCTACTAGTAACAAGAAGCTACTAGGGGCTCCTGGCCTTACTACTAGGAGCAAGAGGACGCTACTAGGAGCAAAGGGCATCGCTACT